CTGTAGGGCTGTGTGGAGGTGTGGCCGTGTTTGTTTACCATTTATCTCTCTGATTCACTGCTTTATTTTGCTAGCGCTGCTCCCTCTCTAGCTGCTCCGTCTCTCTCCTAGCGAAGTAAACTTAGAACAGGCAGTGAACTTTGGACACAAAGATAAAACTAATGGCTCTAGTAGGACTTGAATCCCTTCATTCCCACCAGTGAGCTGTTGAACAGAATCGGATCATTCACAAATGCAACACCATTATTAATGAAGAAACCTACCCCCAGTGCAGCGGTGTGGCTCTGTGGGGGGTTTAATAGCTGGTGGACAACAGTAGAGGTCTGTGGCACAGAGCGATAAGCTGGACCAGGGTCTGGACTGACACACCACATTCATTGGCACCATCAGCCTCTGGATGGGGTTTGTGCACAGTAACACACATGTACAAAATCACCAGCTGCAGCCTTTAACCTTCAGATCAGTTCAGATGTTTGAACAGTCTGAGAAAAAGTACAGAATACACCAGTGTACACAGAGCTGGTACCCTGGAGAGGAAACATACAGTATCGTCAGTCTCCTGTGGTCAAACTATGAGCATGTTGCTGACCACGAACACAGCATTTCTGTGAATGCATGAAGCTGCAGGAGGCCAACAGGTCTAACTGGGAACTCAGAGTCTGTCCCTAAGTATAAAGTGGTCCATGGAAATCCAGCGTCAAGTCATCACCAAAAAATCAATTCATTAATTCAGGCTGAGAGGGTGGTCATTAACCAAAGACAGAGGCAGAGACTGGCTCCTTAATTTCTGGGACTCTGTGGCAGTCTTTCATCAGAGGCTCCCTGTGGTCAACAAAGGTCCCAAACCCAGCAGGATGGAAAGTACTTCCCAGTATAAGTATATAAGGTAGTTACCATCAGCTCCACCTTTACCAGCTGCAGCATTAAAGTGATGGACACAGTAATTAGTCACTATGATCCAGTATCAGAGACGTTACTGGGACACGGGCCGTTCTGCAGGACGAGTACTGATACTGATGGTACTTCAGGTAGATTTGGATGCTGATACCCATTAAAACAGGAGCAAACATGACAAGAGGCTCTTGGATCTGTTGTTCATTGACAGATTTATGTTTTGTGTTTGGTTTGGACAGTTTAGGGTTCTGCTCTTTATGATCATTTCTTGGATTTTGTTTTTTTTTTCCCCTCTTAAAACTTACATAAATCAAATTTCACAAATTACAGCTCTGTATTATGTGGATTCTTTATTCTTTTTGATTCCGTTTCTTTGTTGTTTCCTATGTGGATTTATTTGATCTTTTCTTGTTTTGTCATTCAGATGGAAGAAGGCTGAGGCCTGTGAAGCTGAGGAGAAACGACGGATGACGCCTGCTGGGGTTTTAGCCCTAACCTAACCCTCTGCTGCATCTCATTCACACACAGTTTCTTTGGTTTTGTTCCCATTTCAGAATTTTTATGGGTCTTCCTCTGGCCCCCTGAGCACAGCGCAAATGTCGTCACACAGTGTGTTAATATAGCAAACAAATAAACGCGAGTGGACAGATTTAAATGTGAAGGTCAGAGCATGAAAATCAAATCTGATAATTACGCATCCTCATTACACTCTTTTGTGTTTCTGTGTGTGGACACTTGACAACATTATACAGCACATCCCCTAGTCCCTAACCTAACCTGAATTTGCACTGTGAGGACATGTTGATAGGTCCTTGCACCTTCAAAGGGCTGTTTTGAGGGTTCAGTTTAGGCTGTAGGGCTCAGGTTAGAGCCAGGTTTAGGTTTGGGTTAGGGGCTAGAGGATGTGTTATGTAAGTGAGAGTAATCACAAAGATAAAAAGACCTGCATGTGTGTGTGTGTGTGTGTGTGTGTGTTGAGGATGAATGTAGGTCAAGCTGCAGATTCTCAGCATGGCAACAATGTTGAAAAATCTCAAATCTGAATACTCACACCTGATTGGCTGATAGCTCCAGTCAGCCAGCCAATAACCTTTCAACCTCCAGGGTGCTCTGTGTGTGTGTGTGTGTGTGTGTGGGGTGGGGGGGGGGGGGGGGGGTGAGAGAGAGAGAGAGACAGACACAGTGGACTCTCTTGCCTGGAGTTCAGGTGACACCGCAGATACAACAGGTGAGTGGGCAGAGTCACAGACATCACAGATACAGCAGGTGAGTGGGCGGGGTCACAGACATCACAGATACAGCAGGTGAGTGGGCGGGGTCACAGACATGCATCATACCACAGTCTATGTCTTAAACTACTTCAGAAGTAAACTACAACTCCCACGGAGCACTGCAGTGTGAGCCGTCCAATCAGAGGGGTTTGGACTGTGTTGTCATGCGGGTGGAGGCAGATTCCAGCTGGTGTCTGAGACTGATTCAAAATTTACACATCTGGATCAAATGTGTAGGAGCTGCATGACAGCTCGGTTCTGATTATCATGTAAATGTGATGTCATAGCTCTGGGTGATGTCTCCATAGCAACAGCCGCTGAGGCTCATGGGTACTGCAGTACTGTATTTACAGCTATTTGATGAAGCAGACAGATTTGTCACATTTTCTAACAGCCTGGGGTATCATTTAACTGGACCAGTAAAACACTGACTGGTTCCACATGCAAGAGCGGTCGGTAAAACGTGGGGACATTAGTAACAACTGAAGTACTTCTGAAAATACTGGTACCTGTAGGGATCAGCAGAGGGAAATGCACCTCTGGAGTGTGAGGAAAATGGTGTTAACATTCTTCTCACTGTGTCAGGCTCATTCAAGATAAACTACGCCTGGTCTGCAGACGACAGCGGGTGACAGCAGGCAGCAGACGAAATCTACAGTCAAGACGGACAGTTTAGGAGCTTTCCAGCAGCCTTCAGTCTGTACAGGACGTCACAGAAACTGACGTCCTGTTAGGTCTGATGTCAGCTTTATAAACTGTCATCAAACTGAACAGTTCTGCTTCTCCTCAGGGTCCAAACAGCTGCTGGTTTAATGACGTCCCTCTATACGACAAGGAGAGTGAGAACATGCCGCCCTGTGTTGGTCTCCATACTGTTACTCACATACTGTGTCTGAACGTGTATCTGGGCCACGTTTCTCTTACAAAGCATCATCAGATCAGTTTGCTGCTGTATCTGAGCTGACCAGGCTCGATTTGATATGAAACTGCATCAATACATTCACAGCCGTCGTTGATCTGTCAGATATTTAGTCTGCGTCACCTCTGTACACATGTCAGAACCGTCACATCCCGCTCACCGACGGCTTTTGTTTCTCTTAATCCTTCAGGAATTAAATCAGTTCACGTTGCAGAGCAGGACTCTCACAGACTGTCTGCAGCCTGTGGGAACTACAGGGGTGACTGTGGTTCAGTGGGTAGAGCGGTTGTTTCCCAGTCGGAGGGTTGGAGGTTGGAGGCAGCCTGTGGGAACTACATGTCATGTCCTATACTGACTGTGTTCAGCTTCTCTGATAAATATCACCATCAGCCACACTCTTACTCTGTTAGCATAAACCTTCATAGTCCAAAGACCAAGTCATAAAATAACACTCGCTACGCAGACACAATTTTCTGTTTTGTTTTGATGATGGAAGCAGGAAAGTTTGATCTGCTATCATGGATGTTTTTTTTATTATTCTGTTAAATCTGTTTCTGAGACCCGAAGAAAATAAGAAACACCTGATTCATGAAATGCTGTTGAACCTCTGGTACGTTTTAAAACCATTTTATGCCATGCAAGCCTCTGCTGTTGTCCTAACATCTGCAGGGATGATTTTGCTGTTACACAACTATGAATTTTGTGTTTGCATTTAATCACATTGTTTCCTCAACAGCTGGAACCAAACATGTCTTGGTCCTGGTCCATAGCCCAGATGTTGGGAAGCACTGGACCAAACTAAATAAGAAATAAATTGAATTAAAAGCAACCGCTGAAACACCGCTCAACAACAGGCCAATCATTTACAGCGTCACTTCTGCTGCTGAAAACACTGATGCAGTTTTACTTCAGTTTACTTCACTTTGAATGCAGGACTTTTACTTGTAACAGAATATTTTACATGGTGGTAATACCACAACATTCCATTTCTCTGCTCCATGTCTAGAACAAGCGATAATCAACATTTCTGTGAATGAGTAATGTGAACCAGCTGCTGTTTTAAGAAGTGCCAGTGACAAGACGGTTAAAAACAACAAACAGGAACCACTGGTTAAATATCTGAGTACTTTTCACATGTGAAGAAGATGAGAAGGAGGAAGAGAAGTAACACTGATCCTTAGATTCAGTTACTGTGAGAAAATCCTCACAGATTAATCTGCTGAAACATTCATTCAGTTTTTACACTAAGTGGGACTCACAGAGCTGCTCCTGGACGCGCCAGCCCAGCCTCCAGCGTTTCATAACTGTATTTGCTTCTATTGTATTACACCCAAATGCGCGCGCGCACACACTTACACCAGTTCAGGTGGATTTACATGAAGTAACAGGTGAGGGAAATTTTGATTACTGGTTATTACTGTGACTACTGTTATTTTGTGTGCACAAGATTTAAGACGCAAATCGTCTTTCGGGTGACAGGTTCATTGCGAAGCTTCACTCCACAGCCGCAGTGCTGGTCCTCACGTGGTCCCGGTCCGACTCAGACCCGAGTCTGACTGTGTGACGCCACATTGACTTCTTGTTGTATTTCATTGCGCTTACAGTAACACTCTGCAGGCACGTGGCGCTGGGTGGGGACGCCACCGCAACAACAACCGGCCTGGCAGAAGGCCCCGTTTCTCAGGTTGAATCCACCAGATCTGATCCTGCCGCCCTACATCCGGCAGCTTCAACAAACCTGCAGATCTTCACCGTTTAATAGTTGAGCAGTGTTTTCACTGTGAGCCCCCGAGTTGTGCGCGCTGCTGCTGACGGGCCCTACATGCTCAACTTTTAAACGGAGTCTGGCCCGCGGGTTCCTCCATGTGGGAGACCACTGACCTGTTCATGGTGTTGGCCGGAGTCAAGTCTCCTACCTGATCACCTGCACGCTTCCCTCCACTGACTTCTGCACCTCCGGCTCCTCCGTCACGTCTTCCGGAAACCAGTCCGGCTCCCGCAGTGTCACACCCGCCGTTCTCTGATCAGCTGATTGTCTCCCACGGCGCCTCGCGCTCCGACTCAACCCAGGTAGAATCGATGACCTGGCTAATTGATAACACTGAGTGTCGCCACGTGTACACACTCTGCTCCCGGATCAATCGGGCTGATCAATGCGGCTGCAGCCGCTGATCGATCAGCGCGGACTGATGATGCGATCCGTTGATAGATCCTTCTTCATCAATACAGCTTCCTGTGTTCAGACTCTGAATGAAACTCCCATCAGCACCACGAGCGTTCACCGCACACCACGTCGCGGGTGCGCGCACGTTCACGCCCTTGCACGTGCGCGCCCACGGATCGGTATGGAGACAGATTGACCTGATCAAACAAATCGATACTCACGCTATGTTTGACATCTCGCTGCTTTTATGAAATCATTGATCACCGATTACTGATTAGTTGTGATTTTATCCATCCAGCCTATCGATTCTTACGTTTTAACTTACCTGATTGACTGAGTCACTGTCATTTTTAATGTGATCTGTCGATAAAATGATCGGACAGATATTGTTCAGATGATCAGCTGCCCGTCTGATATTAGTGTTGAGAGGAATCAGTAAAATAGCTTTAGATGATTCTCCAATAGAAACGCGGTTCACCTGGTTCTTATGAGATTCTCCGTTTCCAATAATCAATCAGTACTGCCGGATTCTTTGGCTTCATGTTCGTCCTAGGGACGTTTCCACAGAACTGATGTGAACATCATAGACCTGCAGGAGAACATCAGGCCGAAGGCAAGAAAACATTTTTCACCTTTAACACATTTTCAAGCCTTGAAGCTTTAACCACGCCTGTTGCATTGTTAAATATCTGGACTCGTGTCCGGTGTTTCACTGGGCTCGAGTCTTTGTTCACGGTGTGGATTCAGTCAGAAGCTGGGAGCACCTTCAAAGGGCTAAACTGGGAACTAATCCTGCAGCTGGGACCGGTCCAGAGACTGAGGCAAATATGGGTTATACAAAGGCACAGGTCCACCACCACTGCTGCTTCAGCTGCTCCGCCTCCGCGAACAGTAGAAATACAGCAGAAATCAACGCGCACGAGCCAGTGAACTGGTCTGCAGTCAGCCGAGTTCCCAGATGGAACTGGGACCCATTTTAGAGTGGGGAGGGGCTTCACATGAAACAGGATGTTTGATTTGTGTATCCAGAGTTTTCTCATGGGTATGTTGTTGTTGTTGTTGTTGTTTTGTAGAAAATCGGATTCAAACATCTGAATATGAACACAATCAATAAATCACTGACTTTATACACTTTGTATTAGTGTGTCCAAACACCAGAGCCAGCTCTCAGTGTAACACACACAGGTGAACCAGCTGTGAAACAGCCTGAACATCACCACCTCCATGGAGGAGGGTTTACTACAGGACTGTTGGATCAGACTGACTCAGTCTGACACAGGGGTTCCTAATAAACTGACCCCTGAGTGTAGTTTATATTTAGTGCCCTGCTGAAAGAGGATTTTGCACAACCTGGCAACACAAAGGTTGTTCTTATTGGCTTAGAACTGATGTTGGGAATTTTTACTTAATTACATTTTGAACAGAGGACTTTGTTTTTACACTATGGTGTTGGAACTTTTATTAGAGTGTAGGACTGCAGTAACGTCTTCCAAAACCGGGAATGACGTACTCTGCCACTAGCAATAGAAACTACAGTACAACTGCTGAATGTCGACACATTGTGTTATTGGTGAAAAACTCACACAGATAGAATAACAAAATAAAGTTTGGTTTTATCAAAATCTTGTGCAGTTACAACTTTCATGTTGCAGTGCTTTTGACAACAGGAAGTGATCTCCATGTGGCCGTAAAAAAAAAAGCTCTAAACATCTTTATCGTTCCAGAAAATATTCACAAACATCAAGTTTTATTTTCCGTACTTCTCACTTGCTTATTGTGTCGATTTTTTTCCTTCCTAATCTTAGCACCAACATAGCTGCTCTGACCTCCTACATCCATCCTAATGCCAGGATCATAAACTATACTTTGATACACACTGTACCACCTTTGCTTGATCCTCTTATATACTCTTTAAAGACAGAAGAAGTGCTGAACTCTATTAAGAAAATTTGCAAGAAAAATGAGATTAGCAGCATAAAGCTTTCCAAAAAGTGACCTGTTTATTGATGTTGTATTGACACATTATGATGTATTAAAATACTATGTGTATTATACATTTTTTTCTATTAGTTTCTTTCTAACAAGTATTAGTTTTACTTTTGAAGTGTGATCATTAGTGGAAATGTATCATTTACTGAATTTTGTCATTGCAAATTTATATGATCATTTATAATGATCTTCCAAACTGAAATCAGAGATATAAATTTGTTGACAAGATTCTGCTTAAGATTCTAGTTATCCTGGAAGTGACACCATCATCAGCTGATATTTTTGAGCACTTCACTATTACGATGTCTGTGCAGATTCTCAGTCATCCAGGTCATAGTAAGCTGAAAAAACTAGACTGGACTAGATTTCTAGGTCGAAGACGTTTCACCTCTCATCCAAGAGGCCTCATCAGTTCTGACTGACTGGTGTTGAGCCGGAGATATTTATCCCCCTCGGTGGTGTTTCAGTCCTTTGATGGCCAACAATGTCCCCTAATGACAAATACACTTCACTATAGACAACCTGATGGACCAAACAGAACAGCTAGGAAGGAGACTCTCCACTAAGGTTACCAGAGAAATCTTTCAGAAGATCTCAAGTTTCTTGGAAAAGGCATAACTTACCCAACATAACAAGAGCAAGGCTCACCAAAGGAGTCACAAGTTTTTTTCAGCTTATGGATGACTGAGAATCTGCACAGACACTTTGAGCTTTGACCTGACTTAGAAATGGCTGAGCTCTGTCGTGGCGGCCAACAAACGCATCACCAACAGAAGAAGAAACAGAAATCACAGGAGAAATAACTTTTCTTATGGATTTTTTTAAAAAGGAAAATATTTAATTGTTACAGAAAGAACACGTTAAATTCCACGCCTGGCAAAGGCCCCGCCCACAGGCAGCACTGCCTCCTCTGACCTCAACTGTCTACATACAATAAACACAAACACTGATGACTCCACCACTGCCGTCTCCATGACACAAAAAAACGTCATAAGACATAATTTGCAAATATTCTATAAGTCTTTTATTTTGTTTCCTGTGGGACAGGAAGTAGTCAGATCCCTGTCTCCGCCTCTGTGATGGTAACCAGCTGTAGGGCAATGGCAACCAATCACAGTCCTCACCAGGCTGTTGCTCCTCCTATTGGCTGGTTCTGAACTTCTTTGGTCCGACAGGTTTACTGATGAGAAGAAAACATTTGTTTGTGTGTTTGCTTCATGAAATAAAAGTAAGAGTGTGTTAAGAGTTAAAGGAACATTAACACACGTGTCTACCAAGCGTTTGGGATGACATCAAGGAAGCATTCAGGTCTTCACTTATTATCTGCTCGCATGTAGTCAAACTGTCCCATTAGCAGTATCACACACTCACTGTGTAATCAGACACAGTGACCATCAGACAAAAACACTGCATGGTCTGGACTTGGCTTAAAACAGCTTGAGTCTCCAAAAAATCCAGGGATAAAGCCAAAACGTATGAAGTCCATGGTGTCCCTCTCAGATGTCTCTGCTAAGTACAGTTCTTGTTGTAATCTCAGGTTAAAATAATCAGGAAACACTGCGTCCTGTGTGTGTTCTGTCCTATTGACCTCATAAATACAGTGTGTATGAACAAGCCTAACATTCACTGCTGCCACACTATTGTACAAAACTACGTACTGTAAGGTTTTGTAAACATGAAGAGTTCTTACAAGTCCGTAGAAGCTGTGGGTCCCTTTGAGGCTGGTTTGGGAGCCTCATGACTGGGTTTTTATGGTAGCCAGCCTGCTGAGGCAGGCTGAACCAGTTCAGGTAAACCTGTGGATGTTAGAAAGACAGTGTTTCACCTTGCTGATCTTCATGGTACAGGGCTGACACCTCGGAAAATGCCCCACGGCCGCAGATGTTCATCCCTGCAACACGGAGCTTGTAGGCTGTCCCTGGCTGCAGCTCCAGCTTCCTCATCTGGCTGTAGTCAGGTACCGCACCCGAGTCATCCTACACGTCATCAATAACCACCACCTGTAACTTCATCAATACCCTGATTAACAACTAGAACACTTGAGTTATCCTAACAACAGAGAATCATAATCTGGACAAACTTAACTATAGGCATCATTTAACAAAGTAATAGCCTGTAGAAACAGTGACTAGGAGCGTGACCTTTGCAGGTGCTTTTGTTTTGAAGAACAGCTGTAATAGACAGCTGATCAGTAATCAGTCAAATTTACTGGACTGATTAATCCCTAAAACGCAAGAAAACATAAGGATAGCATGTTGTATCTTCTGATGTTTGTTGGCACCATAACTAATGTGGCTGAACAGGAATGAGTCCAACAGCCATCTTGGTAGCTGCTAACAAAGTGGGGGCCTGGGCTGTCCTGTTGCCACCAAGTATTTGCAACTGTACCAGGGGTTTTTAGTCAACAGGACGGCCTTCGCTGGGGCCCATGTAGTTGTGTCTATGGTATTAATGGACATGCATTCTAGGATTTGGTGTACCATCCCTTAGTTTTAGGCCTAGGCTGTGGGTCCCATGCAGAGCTCCTCTCCTTTCTATTTTTGTTTCTTTTCTTCTTCTCTCTCTCCTCTATCCACTCACCCCAACCGGTTGAGGCAGAAGGCCGCCCACCAAGAGCCGGGGTTTGTCAGATGTTCCTTCCGTTAAAGGGAGTTTTTACTTTGTAAGGTGTCCTGAGATGACTTTTGTTGTGATTTGGCGCTATACAAATAAAATTTTATTTGATTAGATTAGTATTAAGTCAAGCATATCTGATATGAGACAAGACATGTTAAATAAGATATTAGTGTCCTTGTGGAAAATGAGTAAGAAAGACATCACAGTTAGCTTTTTATGGGTTCCAGCTCATGTCGGAATTGAAGGTAATGAGGAGGCCGATGCTGCTGCTAAACAATATTTAAAATTTGATGCAATTAGTAGGCATACACCAATTTCTAGATTTGATATGAAATCCCTTAATATTCATATTCAAAAAGTTTGGCCAGAACAGTGGGATGGGTGTGAAAATGGTAGACATTTGTGCAAGATCTAAAAATTGGTTGGATTCCAACAGGTATGGACTGATACTAGAAAAGAGGAAAGGGTAGTAACTCGTTTGAGAATAGGTCACACAAGCAGGTGAGACTGGGGAAAACCACATCCAGCACCCAGACAATAAGCACAGGTGCCCCCCAGGGATGCGTGCTCTCACCTCTGCTGTTTTCACTCTACACCAACGACTACATCTCTGTTAAGCTCCTAAAGTTTGCTGATGATACAACGGTCATTGGTCTCATCCGAGAAGATGACGAGTCAGCCTACAGACGGGAGGATGAGCAGCTGGTCCTGCGGTGTAGACGCAACAACCTGGAGCTGCAAACGCTCAG